ACTCTCTAGGTTTGGAAAGTTTTCTTCCAAGATTTCATGGAATATATTGTCAATGGCTTTAATGACTCTCTAGGTTTGGAAAGTTTTCTTCCAAGATTTCATGGAATATATTGTCAATGGCTTTAATGACTCTCTAGGTTTGGAAAGTTTTCTTCCAAGATTTCATGGAATATATTGTCAATGGCTTTAATGACTCTCTAGGTTTGGAAAGTTTTCTTCCAAGATTTCATGGAATATATTGTCAATGGCTTTAATGACTCTCTAGGTTTGGAAAGTTTTCTTCCAAGATTTCATGGAATATATTGTCAATGGCTTTATTAGTCTCTTCTCCTTCTGGGATACCAATTATCCAAATGTTTGGACGCTTGATGGTATCTAGTATTTATCATATATTATTCTCATTTTGGGGGGCAAGTTTCTCAGTCTTCGTGTTGGATTTTTCTAAGCCAGTGATTCTATGTTCTACATCTGAGATTTGATTTTCAGTATGATCTAGTCTGCTTTTAATGCTTTCAAGGGAGATTTTGACTTCCTGTATTATAGCCTTCATCTCTAACAGGTCCATTTGATTCGTTTTTTATAGTGTGAATTTCCTCTTTTAGATCTTGCAAGAATTTCCTCACCTCCTGGAACTCATCAGCTCCTTTCTCCTGCCTCTTTGGCAGTTCATTGTTTCTCATCTCTTTGATCTCTGTGAGCTTTGTCACTGTGAAAAATTCTAAATTCTCTTTCTGACATTTCTAAGAGTTTCATTGTACTGTCTGAGGATGAAGAGGAGTTATTATTTTCCCTTAGAGGAGAGGTATTTTCTTGTTTTCCCATATTTCTTGTGACTGTGTGGTGATTTCTAATCATCTGATGGATGGTACATTTCTTCCTAATTCTTGAAGTTCTATCTGAGTGTTCAGAGGTGTGCAGAAGGGAGTGATCTGCAATCTCTCTTCTGTTCCATTTTCACTCTTTGTGCAACAGAATCAGTGAGAATAGAGGAATATTCAGACCCTAATTGTATTCAGATGTTTAGATCCTGTTCACTTGGACCTGTCTAGACAGTGCGTAGGGGCTGAGCAGGCAATGAGTAAAGATTAAAAAAAAAAAAATAAATAAATAAAAAGGAAAAGAATTAGAGAAGAGGAAAATATAAAACAAAAAGAAGAAAAAAGATCATTAAAATCATATGATCAATGTTAAGTTGTGAGCAGTAGATTCTGGTACTCCAGGAGTTAGAAGTAAAAAATACTAAGTGCTAAAATATTTTAGGAGGAAAGACTTAAACTGGATTTTGAAACCTATTGATAGGTAGAATATAGAGGAGCAAACAGAAGAGAGCAGAGCATTCCAAGTCAAGAGTGACTGAGCTGGGACCAGAAGTTAGCGTAATGGCTATGTCACTGGACTCCCATGTAGTTGACTGTGGTTCGAGTCCCGGAAATGCTGGCTTAAATTCTTGCTGGGCGCTTGTGCATGCGTGCCCAAGATCCCAAGAGGAGAATGGAGGAGAAGGGATTGCGGTGTGGCCATCCCCCCTGGGGGGCTGATTTCTTGCTTTCTCTCTCTCTCTCTGTCTTCCCAGCGAGCACATGCACCCTATAGCAAAAACTTCTCAAACAAAACAAAACAAAAAACTGTGCTAAGGCTTTTAACATAGTGCCTGACCCACAGTAGGTATTGAATTAAATATTCAGTGAGCAAATTGAAAGAAGTACATGTCTTTTTAAGTCTTTGATGTTAAGGGAACCAGCAGTTAGCATAATGGCTATGTCGCTGGACTCCCATGTAGTCGACCATGGTTCGCGTCCTGGACCTGGTGGCTTAAAACTCACGCCGAGTGCATGTGCGTGCGTGCCCAAGATCCCGAGAGGAGAATGGAGGAAAAGGGATTGCGGCGTGACCATCCCCCCGGGGGGGATTTCTCGCTTTCTGTCTTTATGTCTCGCTCTGTCTGTCTGGCGAGCACACGTGCCCTATAGCGAAAATCTCTCCAAAAAAAAAAAAAACCTTTGATGTTAAAAGACCTGTCAGGCATCATCGATAATAATTTGGTAGTTTTAGAAGATATTTGGTAGACAGAACTTGGTAGTTTCAGATTTAGAAACAAAATTTTGTTTGTTTTTGTTATAGGGTGTGTGTGCTTGCAGCAGAGAGAGAGAGGGAAAGTGAGAAATCACCCCCTAGCAGGGATGTCCACACTACAGTCCCCTCTCCAGTCTCCTCTCGGTATTTTGGACATGAATGCATATGTGCTCAGCTGACTTTCAAGCTGCCAGGTCTGGGACTTGAACTGTAGAGTCAGCCATGTGGAATACAGTGCCTTAATCCCCATGCCATCTGCTGGTCCTGTAAAAATTTTAAATGGGCATGTCATTGACCCAGAAACTCCACTTAGAGAAATCTATGAGGGGGGAATCTTTAAAAAGTTAATGGAAAATGGGCATTATGAAAAAACTATGCATGGATTTCAAAAATATTTTGGACTAAAATAAAACTCATACCTTAATTCCATTTTCCAATATCTTTTTGAAATCCCTCATACTACTTTGAAGCTATTATTTGCCTAGGTACTTAAAGCTACATGATTAAATAATCCATAATGTATCTACATATGGACTTTGTTTTTAAATTTTAACACATATAGCATTTACTAATGTGCCCAGAACTGGTCTAATATTTGTAAATAGTCCCTCTATTTTTTTTGTTTGTTTGTTTTGAGAGAGAGATTTTTGCTATAGGCTTGCCAAAGAAACAGAGAGATAGAAAGCAAGAATTCACTCCCTGGGGGGAATGGCCACACTGCAATCCATTCTCTACTTGCCTCTCAGGATTTTGAGTATGCATGCATATGTGCCCAGCATGAGTTTCAAGTTGCCAGGTCCGGGACTTGAACACCAGTCAGCCACTTAAGGGTCTAGCACTTTAACCACCACTATGGCACCTGCTGGCCCCTCAAATATTACTCTTACCACAGTGATTTGTGGGGATGTTGTCATATTAGTACCATGTTATTGATGATGAAACAGGCACAGGGTTGAACTTAACTAAAGTCACACAGCTAGTAAATGAGGAAGCCAGTGATTGAAATTTAATCTGGTTTAGCATTACACTATGTAGTGCTATCTAGTGATTACCAGAAAATTGTGTAGACTCAGTGTATGACCTAATAAGTATGTAAGACTCCTAAAACACAGTAAAAGTGTAATGTGTCAGTGTATGCTGCCGCCATGCATAAAAAACACAAACACCATGCCATCACCTCAACTCCTGCACTACACACACACACACACACACACGCACACACACACACAGATGTGTACATATATAAGCTTGTGTTCCAAGCTGGTGCCTTGCCTCTACGGAGAGGATTAGGAAAAAGAAGATATTTTCATGTTTCCACTTTTATATTATTTAATTCTATCCTAAGAAAGTTATGTATTTATCTAGTAGTTTAAAAAATGAAGATAACCAATAAAGATATTTTTAGGTGGAAGAAATAGAACCTGAGACAATGCAATTAAGCCTTGTAGACACAGTTTTCTTGACTTGTCTCCAACAGTGAATTTTCCATTTAGTGAGCTCTTAGCTGGTATACAGTTAAGCCTTCTTTTCTTTCTCTTTATAGATTTGTGTTCTCTTGTGTCTCCCTAGTGAGGCAGGGATAAATCCACTACTTCTTTCCATTCAACATGTTTGTGCATGTTCTGTAATATTTTATGGTAATGAATGAGCTTATTTTCTTTTAATGCATTCCCATTGAGGGTTTCATGAAGGTTATAGTAGTTTAAATTGTGCAGATTGGCAAGAATGTGGACATTTATGGGGGACAGATCAGAGCTAGGTCAGGTGGCATTAATGCTGAATCAAACTAAAAGACTGAGCGACTGACTCTATGACTGTCCAGATGCTTCATGAAAGACCTGATTCCAAGGGAAAGATAAATAATGGTGGGTAGAAGTTTGGGAAGATCATCAGAATATTCTAGAGAATACCAAGATACCTTTGTTATTGAATTAATTTTTTTAAAGGCCCTCTTGATGATGTTGCTTGCTGGCTACATGTAAACAAAGTTGAAAGGCTGCAGCTCAGGTCTGAGACCCTTTGCCCAATCATTAAGTTATTTTTGAGAATCTACTGTGATGGGATTATACTGGCAGACTGACAGAATTTGAAATACACAGTAGCCATCTAGTACCCTAGTTTAGAGTTTATACTATTAATAGAATGGTTTGCTGAGAATAATTCAGTGTTGTCACCTACACGCAGCCTGAAATTTCTTTCAGAAAACTACCCTCAAAATGATATGTGCAGTTGATCTTTAGCCCACTGTTAAAAGATAAACTTATGCCCATTGAAATTGTGACAAATTTATTTAAGCAGACAGTGATTTGTGACTAGGGTAGCTCCAGACCTCAAGTGGTTTAGTGATCTACTACAGGGCTGGAGGGGGAAGCTTGTATAAGGTGTTCTTTGAGATATAAGACAAAGAAAACATATTTGATTGGTGCAAGTGGAAACTCCCTAGGTAGAGATTAGTTTGGTGGTTTCTGATTGGTAAACTTAAGTTTATATTGAGCCGGGTTTTGGTTCTTCTCTGTAGGAACCTGAGACAACCTGAGATGCTTGGAGCTGTCTCAGTCTCGTGGCATCCCAATAAGTTATTTTAACAGTGCTATGAGCATTTTTGCGTTTTGGGTCCCTATCACCTTAAGCTCCCATTTCTTACTCCTGGTTGAAGGCAGATTTAGAGATATCAACTTGTGCTGTCCAGTAGGCTGTAGCTCCTGGAAACCAAGGAAGATATTTGTGTAGTCTGTGTTTTCTTCAACATGGTACCTTATGTTCTTAGGTGCTCTGGAGTAATTTGTAAAATTGAACTAATAGAAATTAAATTTCATGGGTTGCTATTCTCTGTTATTTCCTTTCCAGGAGCATATTATGTGAAGATAATAGCAGATAAGTCTACTTGTATATTGAGCATAACGGTTCTAATTTTTTCTGTTAAATAGGAACTCTCTAAGATCACAATGCCAGTGATATTTAATGAGCCGTTGAGCTTCCTACAGCGACTAACTGAGTATATGGAGCATACTTACCTCATCCACAAGGCCAGCTCCTTCTCTGATCCAGTGGAGAGGATGCAGGTACGCACAAAGCAACCACTGGAGGAGGTTTCAACGTTAGCACTTCTCTGTCATCTCCTCTTCTCAAGTCCCCCCTCCACCCCCGCACATATACACACCGCCATTAGTGTTAAGTCCAGTGAGAGGTTGGAAAGTGGTATCAGAGTTTAATCAGCATATTTGGATTTAGAGTGTCCTCTGCATTTAATTCCTCCTGCCTCTCCTCTAGTCAGGGTGCTACCATAGTGAAAAGACCAGCGAAGAAGCAGAAGGTGGTGCATTACCAAACCTAGCTGTTAGTGATCTGCTTCTAAACCTCCATTTTAGAAAGTTCCACTTGGTTCAGGGGAAATGTTCAGGCTTCCTCCATTCAGATTTCCTCAGAGTGTTTCCAAGGGTGAATATATGTCACATACATACACAAATGTGTGTGTGTATATATATGTGTATACACACAAACACGTATATTATGTGTGAATACACTGCTATATGCTAAAACAAAAATTAGCAAGGAATTGAACTTTTGCATTTGCCTTTGAAGATGTTTATGTGATTGATGTATATGGATAGACTAGCCATGGGCAGTGCATAGTACACACTCTACTCTTCATACTCTACACTGTACACCTCATACATTTCATACTATATACTCCACACTGTTCTTCAGAGAAAGCAATAACATTGTAAGATGAATCTTTCTGTTCTTTCATTTATATAAATCAGTTTTTTTAACCTCACTGGACTGAACACCAATTAAATTGTGTAATTTTATATCTCTTTTCCCCAACCCTGAAAGTGTTGTTTAAAAAAAAAATTAATGAATTAAAAGTACTTTTGGCTTAGAGAGTTTTTAAAAAGTCCTTGAGAGAATTTGTAGCACTCTCAGCATGTTATAAAAACCATAGTTGGAAAGGAAAATAATTTTCATTCTGAATATCCAAGTTTTCACTTGAAGTTGTTAGAGCCATATTGAAAATCCAAAGTAATTAACATCCTCGAAATAATTTTCTAAGTTACTGTCTTCAGCAAAATTTTAGTTCATGAAAGAATGAGGAGCAAGCGAGGCTATTTTTAACTTGTTCTAATGCTCTGTCCCACAGTGCGTAGCTGCGTTTGCTGTATCTGCTGTTGCCTCTCAGTGGGAACGGACTGGAAAGCCTTTCAACCCACTCCTGGGAGAGACTTATGAATTAGTTCGGTGAGGTCTTTCATTCCATTCCAGATGGATGCTTGAATATGCATGACTTAGATCATTTTTCAAATGAAGAGGAAAAATACTTATTTTGAGTATCACCAATAACTATCTATGTTAACAATTTTGGTGTTTGTTTTTATGATACTCACTATCTTAGAACAATTGTGTTAAGAACATTGAGACATACATAAGATGTACCATTATAAAAAAATAATTGCAAGGATGCCAGTATTCTAATCACGTGGGATTAATTATTCTCTTTTGCTTCTTATGTAGATCAGAAGACATGATTGGGGTTTTTAAAATAGCCATATGAAATATATTAATATAAATAGATACTGTTGCCATAAAGACAATGACTTCATTTTTCTGTCTTATTTATATATTTTTTTTACTGTAGCGTGTGCACACTCGCCAGAGAGACAGAGAGAGACAGAAAGCTAGGAATCACTCCTCAGAAGGGATGGTCACACCACAAGTCCTGTCTCCATTCTCCTCTTGGGATTTTGGGCATGTGAGCACACACACATACCTGCATGAGTTTTAAGCCTTTAGGTCCAGGATTTGAACCGCAGTTGATCATGTGGGAGTCCAGCGCCTTAACCACTACACCCCCTTCTGGCCCCATCTGCACAAGTTTTGATCTTATTTCGTCCCTATTTCCCTATTTGAAAGTGGACATATGTAGGTGCTTCAACAAGTTTGTGGAAAAATGGAAAGTATGAGTTTATTTTGGTGCAGCAATTCTGACATCCATACGTAGATTTTACATAGTACACATTTTCCATGAACCTCTCACACTTGATTTCTCTATCTTAATATAGAAGGAATAAGTATTTTTTTTTTCTTTTTTTGGAGAGGTTTTTGCTATAGGGCACGTGTGCTCGCCAGAAAGACAAGAGACAGAGAGATACATAGCGAGAAATCACCTCTCAGAGGGGATGGCCACGCTGCAATCCCTTCTCCTCCATTCTCCTCTTGGAATCTTGGGCAAGCATGCAAACACACCCGGCGTGAGTTTAAGCCACTGGGTCCGGGACACGAACCGCAGTCGACTTCATGGGAGTCCAGCGACATAGCCATTACGCTAACTGCTGGTCCCAGGAATAAGTATTTTTATAGGAGGAATAAGTTTTAAATTTACATAGCTAAATACTATTTTACGCAAAGCACCTAGATTCATTGTATTCTTTGTTTTGTGTATTCTTTACTTTGACACTTCAAATACTTAGCATTATAATAATAATTGATTTAGTAGGGTTGCATTTGTATTGTAGGTTCTTATGTGTTGTACTTTCATCAGGATGATGATAAAGAATTGTTTACTTTGTTGAACCCTTTTCTTTAACTTCTACCTTGCTTTTTGACTGAAATGACAGTATTTGTTTTATATTCATTCAACCCTCAAGTTATTTATAATGTTCCCTTTGTTTCAATCTTAAGAGATGACCTTGGATTCAGACTCATCTCCGAACAGGTGAGCCATCACCCGCCAATCAGTGCATTTCATGCAGAAGGCTTGAACAACGATTTCATCTTTCATGGTTCAATCTATCCTAAACTGAAGTTCTGGGGGAAGAGTGTAGAAGCAGAACCCAAAGGAACCATCACCTTGGAGCTCCTTGAGTAAGTTATAATCAACCATTAAACATTTTCATGTACATTTGTTTATTTTATAAAAATTTGTTGGAAGGCATGTTAGCCTGCCATGAGAGAGAGAGAAAGAGCGCGCAAGCACTTCCAGGGTTAATGACCACACCATAATCCCTTCTCCTCCATTCTGTTGGGATTTTGGGCACCACATGCACATGCCTGATGTGTTTTCAAGCCACTAGGTCTGGGAACTGAACCATGCAATTGGCCATGTGAGATAAACTGCCCTAACCACCATGCCACTGGCTGTCCCCATGCATACCTACTGTTAGTTATATATACTTACCCATAGACCTGACCTTATGGTTTGCAAAAGGGAAGAAAAATAATTGAACAGCGTTTATAAAGAGTAAATGACCTACTTCTATATCAAAGAATTTGAGGGCTTGTCCCATGGTCTTGTGTATAAGGAAGTTGGACCCCACAAGGTTGTTTGCCTAGTTTGGGTCTGGACCTAGAGACTTGAAAAATATGTATGGTGTGAATGTGCATGCAAGCCCCAAATCCCAGCAGCATGGAAAAATGGAGGAATAAGGATTGTGATGTGACCACACCCAATTGGACGGTGCTTTCTCCTCCTTTTCTCTCTGTCTCATGTGCCCTCTGGCAAATTAAAAAATAAGAATAAATAATAAATAATAATTTGAGAAACATGGCAATAGTCATTGTTAGTCAATCTGGGTATGCATAAAAAGTTTAACTTGATGTTTGACCATGGTGTTTGGATCTCTTTTAAGATAAATGGAATTAATACCTTCATGATAGTTCTTATTAAAAAAGTTTTTGCTATATCATGCCGCTGGTGTTTTATTTAAAGATCTTTCTAAATAAACTCACCTTGAGAAATATCAAAGTGTGGGACCAGCAGTCAGCACAATGGCTATGTCGCTGGACTCCCATGTAGTCGACCGCAGTTTGAGTCCCGGACCCAGTGGCTTAAACTTATGCCAGGCGAATGTGCGTGTGCGCAAGATCCAGAGAGGAGAATGGAGGAGAAGGGATTGTGGCATGCCATCCTCCCTGGGAAGTGATATCTCGCTTTCTGTCTCTCTCTCTTTCTGGTGAGCGCGCGCACCCTATAGCAAAAACCTCTCCAAAAGAAAGAAAAGAAAGTGACCAGCAGTTAGCGTAATGGCTATGTCGCTGGACTCCCATGTAGTTGACTGCGGTTCGCCTCCCGCACCTGGTGACTTAAAACTCACACCGGGCTCATGTGCGTGCATGCCCAAGAGCCCAAGAGAAGAATGGAGGAGAAGGGATTGCGGCGTGGCCATCCCCCTGGGGATGATTTCTCGCTTTCTTTCTCTCTGTCTCTCTCTGTCTTTCTGGCGAGCATACGTGCCCTATAGCAAAAACCTCTCCAAAAAAAGAAAAAATTAAAAGAAAGAAAGAGAAATATCAAAGTGTCAATTGTGCAGCACATGTTACATATTAGGAGCGTTCTTTTTTTGCATTATTAGCTTTCAAATCAAAGGCAGTTTTAGTTAAGCTAGAGAAAGCACCCTCTAAGTGATCTCTCCCACTGATTCCACCTGGAAATGCTGGACAGAAGACGTGTAGCAACAAGCTGAGGACTCTGGAAAGTAAATAATACTAGGTAGACTAGGGAGAGAAATCAGACTTTGAAGAATAGTGGCATTTGGCTTCCTGGTTTTAAATTTTTTTCCCCGTATTTTCTGACTTATGTCAGGGCAGTAAATCACCTAACTGAGCACTCAATCGAGGCAGATAGGAAAAGCTCCAGGAGAAACCTTCCCCTTCTGGCTAGAGGACCTGCAAGGATGCCTTTGTAAGCTGTAGAGAGTAGGCGAAGTCCTGTTTTGTTTTTATTTCCCAGCCTTGCTCCCAAACACACTCTAGGACCTGCTGCTACACTGCTGTAGTGGTGAGGACAGCGGCAGCCCCAGCAGCCCCGAAAACTAAAAACGTCTTTCACCTTGGCCACAGGAACCCAAGAGAGGGCCTCTTTAATCCAAAGAACATGAAGAGAATCCCCGTTACTTGTTTTTCATTTTTCTCATGCCTTTACCCCAGAGGAAGACTTATTTGTGGGAAGTACAAGACAGAACAGAGAGGCTCAAACAGCTTGCTAGCCAGAGCACAGAGGAAAGGGCGCCCTCCTACCTAAAAGAGTAGCGAGTTTAAGAATGGGATCCCATAAAGCTATGTGCAAATTTCTAAACTTATCCCTACACTAATGCATTGAAATGATCCAAAATAATACCATTAGACCCTATGTGGCCCAAGACCCAGGTCCCTGGATGGCTTTTAAGGGGTTGCTCTCAAAACACTATAAAGGTTCTGAAAATTAAACTGACACTGGACTCAAAGTCCATAGAAGGAGAGTCAGGACTTGTGGCCTGATACTGTGTTCATTGCCTACTACACAAAGCAAAACAAAATAAAATCAATATTCTTCATAGGCTCTGAGGAGAACACCAAATCATGTATTACCCAGGTATCCAGAATACAATCCAGAATCATTTGACATATCAAGAAACAGAAAAACCTCAACAGCTAACAGTGGAAAAGGCAATCAACAGACTCTATCCCCAAGATGACCCAGATATTAAAATTTGTATCAAAACTTTAAAAAGGTTGTTTTAACTGTGACCCATGAGGTAAAAGTGAACACTCTTAAATGAGCAGAAGGACATTCTAGCAAAATATTAGAAGTATTTCTAGACATTTTAATACTTAAAAATATAGTAGCAGAAATACAGTAACCAGGACAAGCTTAGTGGCAAATGAAGATGATAAAATATATACAGGATCTGTATGTTAACTACAAAATACTAATGAAAGTAATCAAGGAATATCTGAGTAATGGAGAGACATGTGTCTCAAGATATTTGGAAACCTTAAGATCATTAAGATGTCAGTCTCCCCTAGTTGATATATAGGCAATCTATATTAACAGTCTGAATGAGAATGCAATGATGATTTTTTTTTTGTTATTCTTATTTTTTTTTTTTAATCGTCAGAGGATATATGAGTTTGCCAGAGAGACGGGGGTGGGGGGACGTGGGGGTAGAAATCACATCATCTTTTTTCAATTTCTGCATCCTGTCAGGATTTGGGGCACACGTGCCTGGTGTGTTTTTCATGCTGCTGGGGCCAGGATTTGAACTGTGATTGGCTTTGGGTGAATTAGTTCCCAGTGCATAGCACTTAACTACTATACCACAGAGCCAGCCCAGGATGATTTTTTTTTATAAATATTATTTATTTAACTTTATTTGTTCATTTGTTTATTTTTAATTTGACCAGAGAGAGACCAAGTGAGTGAGAGAGAAAGGGAAAGTGAGAAAGGAAGCTGTCAGGTCCAGGACTTGAACTGTGGTCAGCCATGTGGGAGTCCAGCGTCTTAAGGAACACACCACGTGCCATCCCCTAGGATGATTATTTTTAAGTTTATTTATTTGTTTATTTTCCATGAGAGAGAGAATTACCCTCAACAGGGTCTCACACCATGATGCCGCCTCCCCAGCCAGCCATACATGGCACTCAGCATGTTCAGGTTGACCTAGGAACTGAACCCCAGTTTTTCATATGGCTTCCAACATTACAGAGCATTACACTGCCACTGCACCACTATGGCTGGGCCTCCAAGATTATTTTAATGGATATAAGGAAGTTGATTTTAAATTTATATGGAAAAGCAAATAAAATAGAACTGCCAAAACACCTTTGAAAAGGAAAAACAGAATTGGTAGACTCCCAAACTCCGTTTTAAGACTTAACTCTAAAGCTATTAAGACAGTATTATATTTGCAAAAGGATATATCACCTGCACTGAAGGAACACAGAAGAGAATCCAGAAATTGACCCACAGAAATATGGTCCAATTGATTTGTTAATAAAGTACAAAGGCAATACAACTAAGAAGAGTAGTTCTCTCCACAAATATTAGGAGCACTGTTGGGGTATCCATATGTTAGAAAATTAACTTCAGCCTACACCTCACACTTTATACAAAAATAAATTCAAAATAAACTGTTGACTAATATAAAATGTAAACTTACAAAGCTATTAGGTCATTGGAAAAGTCATGATGTATTGTTTCATGTTTTTCTATGCAAAAATGCATCATGGCTTTTCAGACAACCCAATATTAGAAGAAAACTCAGGAGACAATCTTACCATTTTGAATTAGGCAAAGACCTCTCATAAATAACGATACAAAAAATGCAGCCCATAAAAAACAAAATCAATCATTTAGATTTTAGCAAAATTAAAAAAGTGTTCAGTGAGGGACTAGCAGTTGGTGTAATGGCTATGTCGCTAGACTTCCATGTAGTTAACTGCGGTTCAAGTCCTGGATCCGGTGGCTTAAATTTACGCCAGACACATATGCTTGCATGCCCGAGATCCCGAGAGGAGACTGGAGGAGAAGGGATTGCAGCATGGCCATCCCCCCTAGGGAGTGATTTCTCACTTTCTGTCTCTGTCTCTCTCTGTCTTTCTGGCGAACGCATGCGCCATATAGCGAAAACCTCTCCAAAAAAAGAAAAAAGTGTTCAGTGAAAGACACTGTTCAGAAAATGAAAAGACAAGCTATAGACTAGTTTATTATTTGTAAATCATATATTCAGCAAAGAACTTGTACCTTGAATATATAAAGAACTCCCAAAACTTAATGACGATAAACAGCAGTGAGAAACAAACAGCCCAAGAAGGTATATGGATGGCTAATAAGCACATGAAAAGATGCTCAACAGCATTAGTTATTACAAAAATAAAACATTAAAACCACAGTTTTAGTACACAAGTATTAGAATGACTAAAATAAAAATAAGTTTTAGGGCCAGCCCATGGTGTCGTGGTTAAGGCGACTAGATCCCACGTGGACAATCATCTCCTTCCTCCAGTAATCTAGCCTTGGACTTCATGCATGTGCCTGGCATGATTCATGCTGACTGACCTCAGGATTTAAATCACAATTGTCATATAAGATCTGACTTCTCTTAAGAACTGTATTATTTTTACATCACAGAGACAGCCCTGAAATCGAAACAATTTAAAAACCTGTATTATTAAGTGTGTAGAGCATCTAGCAACTTCATGTATTGTTGGTAGGAATGTAAAATGGTGATGCCTCTCTAGAGAATAGTGGGACAGTTTCTTATCGAATTAACCATTACATTCACTACATGACCCAGCAATCCTATTTCTAGGTGTTCACCCTAGAAAAATGAAAACCTACATTTACACAAAAACCTGAATGAAATGTTTAGAGTAGCATTATTCGTAATTACCAAAAACTGAAAACAGCCCAGGTACTCTTTAATAGATGAGCAGTAAAACAAACTGGTACATCGATACAATGGAATACTACTCAGCAATAAAAAAAGAATGAATTGTTGATACATAGAACAATACAAATGAATTTCAGATATATTATACAGATTGAAGACACCAATCTCAAAAAGTTATAATATTTTATGTATATTTGTACAATATCCTAGAAAAGGTAAAACAGATATAGTGGAGAACAGATCAAGTTGTTTAAAAATTAGGAATGGAGGAAAATTTGACTTTATGGGAGAAAAACAAGTGAATTTTTGAGGAGTGATAGAATTCTTCCATATTCTGATTGTGTTGGTATTAACTGTCTGAGAGGATTTCAGAAGCTTCATTGAAAAATGGGATTAACATACAAGTTTATTTTGGTGCAAAAATTTTTGAAATTCATGTGTAGATTTTTCTTTTTTCTTTTTTAACTAATTATTTTATTTGACTTCATTTATCTATTTATTTTCATTTGACCAGAGAGGAAAAGAGTGAAAGAGAGAGAGAAAAAGCGGGAAAGCAAGCCACTAGGTCCAGGACTCAAACCATGGTCAGCCATGTGGTAGTCCAGTGCCCTTAGACATTACACTGGGCCCTAGATTTTTCATAATACACATTTTCCATGAATTTTTGAAAGATCTTTTGTATATATTAAAATCCAGCAAACTGTACACTATCAAAAATGATTTTCATATGTAAATTAAAATAGAATTTAAAAACATGTATCTAAGGATAACTATATTGGGTTTTTGGAAAAATCATAAAGCATTTTTACGTAGAAAAACAGAAAAATAGGTCGACTTTTCCGATGACCTAATGCAAAGCCATAAAAACAAACATTTTTCTAAAACAAAACTTGTATAAGTAGAGTTTATTCAGATATATAACAATTTTTTTTTCCTGTGGTAAGCTGAAAGGTACTTTCTCTGCAAAGTGATAAATAGACTTTCATTTTTATTTTCTACTGCTAATTTAATTTTTATCTTTCATGTGTTTCACCAGACTTTTGAATGTTTAAAATGATTATGTACATAGTTTCCGTACAGTTTGGTAGAAGTGTAGATTTTTTTCCCTAAGTTTTCATTTGCTCTGAAGAAATAAGAGTAGGCAAATGCTGCCTATTTTACTGTGAATTAACAACAAGAGACTTTTTAAAGTCTTAGAGCTTAGCTATCTCAAGCATCCTGAATTGTTTTCTGAGTATTCACATTTGCACAAAATGTACTTTTTAAACAAATAACACTTCTCACTCACTTTTTTGATTTGATTTTTTTTTTTTCAGACACAATGAAGCCTATACGTGGACAAACCCTACCTGCTGTGTGCATAATATCATTGTGGGCAAACTCTGGATTGAGCAGTATGGCAACGTGGAAATCACAAATCACAAGTAAGACTCTAGGGTACTTATCCATTCTTTCAGTTTGCATTCATGGTTCCAGTGGACTTTTTCATTTATTTTTTTTGGTTCAAGTACAGCCTAATGAAAATTTAAAAATTGAGTAGTGTAATTCTTGAGTGGGTAGAAACCCATTCATTTAATTAATAAGGTTCATTAAAGATTCTGAGCTTCCTTAGTTCCTGTGAATTTTAATTCTGATCTCAATTCATTTTGCTTAATTGTTCAGTTTGCTTTTCCTTGTACATGGAGCAGTGGGAGCTGGGGTGGGGGAGAAAGAGGACATAAGAATCATATTAAAAAGTTGGTTTTGAATCCTACTTCATGATCATAGGCAAGCTACTTGTTCTTTACGAACCTCACATACCTTTTCTTTATGGTGGGTCCAGTACTAGTTAAGGATTAACCATAACTGCTATACGGAGCCTGACATGTGTAAGAAAAGTCTGTAAACTGTAGCTGATGCTAGAAAAGCTATCATAGTCTTGTACTCTACTGCTTCACTGATATTGAGTGGTAATCTGAGCTTAATGTTTTCTTCATAGAACTGGGGACAAATGTGTGTTGAATTTTAAGCCATGTGGCCTCTTCGGGAAGGAATTACACAAAGTTGAAGGCTACATTCAAGATAAAAGGTAAAAGTTTCTACTTTTAGTGTTGAATAGTACAGATGTTTATAACTAAAAAAAAAATTAGAATAAAATCTGCCATAACCTGGGGCTGGCTGGTTGCATGGTGGTTAAGGTGCTGAACTCCTGCTTGGCTGACTGTGATTTGAGTCCCAGACCTGGCGGCTTGCTTTCTCACTTTCCTTCTCTCTTACTCTGGTCAAATAAAAAATAATAATAATAATAATAATGAGGCCCAGTGGGTGGCATGGTGATTAAGGCACTGGACACTCCCACATGGCCAACCATGATTCAAGTCCCAGAGCCGATAGCTTGCTTTCTCACTGTCCCTCTCTTTCTCTCTGTGTCTGTCTCTGGTCAAATTAAAATAAAATGAGTGAATAAATAAAAAATAGATAATTCTTTAAATAATAATAATAATAAAACTAAATTAAAAATTATTTTAAAAATCTGTCATAACCTAGGAAACATATGATCAAGTTGAAAAATCCTTTTTTCTACAAAGAAATACCTGCCTCTTTTTGGAATCTGATTCATAAAAATCTTTATAGTAACTTCTGTTACAGCAAAACACTACTTGTTGGATAAACATCAATTTCTCTTCACAGCAAAAAGAAGCTCTGTGCCCTCTATGGGAAGTGGACTGAATGTTTATACAGTGTTGACCCCGCCACTTTCGATGCTTACAAAAAAAATGATAAGAAAAATACTGAAGAGAGGAAGAACAGCAAACAGGTGAACATTCTGTAAGATGGTATCAAAGGGATAACTGGACTCTGCACTCCACCAATCCTTTCAGAGATGACCCGTTATTGGGCAAGCTTGACCTGCCTTTTTTTTCTCCTGTTGTTAATGCATGCTATTGTTCTCCTTGTATTTTTTATTTATATTTTGTAATATAAGTTTACTTATTTAATGAAAGATCAAAGGAGAGAGATAGAGACCCCTGACAGGGTGTAGCCACACTGCCATCCTCTCCACAGTCTTCCAGGCAACCAAGATCAGGTATTTAGGCCAACCTGGGATCTAAACCCAGGGCCTTCCCATATGGCTCAGGTATCACGCAGTGGTGCTCTAGTGCCTGCACCACCAGGGCCAGGCCCTGCATCTTTTTTTTTTTTTTCTTTTTTTCCATTTACTTATTTGTTCCATGCATGAGAGAAACAGGTCTTCACTCCGTGATCCACCTCCAGGCTAGGTTCTGGGCACAAGCTGCACCTGCCTGGTATGTATAGAGAGGCCCCTGAGAATGAACCCGGGACCTTCCTATGTGAGTCCAGCATTGTAAAGCATTGCATTACTAGGGCCCCAAAGCTGCACATGCTTGGGTTTTTTAAGTGAGCCTTAATAGCAAATGTTTGACCTAGTCTGGTACAGGATAAGGGTGTGTACCACTTTCATAACTGTATAGCAGTTCCATACATGGGGCTTTAATTTAGTTCCCATAGCTTTGGAAAGATGGATTTCATCTTAGCAAGACACATTTTCTTTTCCTCCTATTTATGTGCATTAGAAGTTGAAACCATTGAAATATTTTAAATTCCCTCCACAGTTCTCTTGCATTATCATACTTATCATGAGTTTTGTTGTTTTGTGGCTTAGCGTTTAATCTCTGAAGCTAATAAAGACTATGAGAGAGGAGTCACCACTGGACTGGGGGCCTTTGCTTACTAAACTTGCTTCTTTGTGGAATTTCCAGTAAGGCATGCAGCTTCTTATCCTGCGGCCCTAAGCAAGCTCTCAGGACTCCTTCCTGTCTCTGCCCTCCAGGCAGAAGTGCTGGGAGCTAAAGAAAGATGGCACCTTTTTAGACAGGAAATTTTTGAGGATTGATTCCTTTATAGTAACTGATGTAATAGTTATAAGCACAAACTGGATTGGAATCCTATCCCCACCAGCTAGGAGCAGTGCAGGCCTGGAAGGTTTCCCCCTTCTCTGCAGCAACACCTTCCATTGGAAATGGGGATCATTAGAAGCTACTCAGCAAATGACTGAACCGATGTGAAAAGCTCAGAATAGTAAGTGCCCATGGTGATGACTCCTTGGTTCTTTCTGACTGGCAACCTGAGCACCATCCCAGAGCATTAAAACGCAGATTTCCAAGCCATGCTTCCCCCTAGGGATCACAACTCTTCAGGTGTTCCTTTTGCATGTAAAAAACTTAAGAAACCCTAATATCCCTCAAAAGCAGCAGGTAGATTAGCAACTCTGTAATTGAGTTAACCATAGGCCTGAAGTGGAGAGTTTGTTCAGTGACCAGAGCGCATCACTTTCCTGTGGTTTGGGCTTCTTCCTCTCTTTTTATTTCCCCCCAGCCTGTGTGTGCAATTCTGTCTTTCCTCCTACATTCTCTGTTCCCACCTGCTTTTCCCTCTTCCTTGTGTCCCATAAACCCCAGTCAGTGTTACAGAAAAGCAGTCTCCAGTCCCATTGGAGACTATTCGACACATTCACTCCTGTGTAGCTTTCTCATGCCTGTGTACATCTGCCTTCCATCATGTTCCTGCACATGTTCAAATGCCATGGGAAGTTTTTATCATTGATATTGTCACCTCTTTGCTGTTTTCAAAACCGTAGAAGCACAAAAGTGCCTCAGCCTGTGGTTCTAGATCTCTTAACTATGTGGCATTGGGGGTATTAACTTTCCAAAGCCTTGGCTTCTCCATGTATAAACTGTGGTAATAACATCTCCCCTGAGATGTGTTAGACTAGCATAGCTCTGCCCAGGGAGACATAGCTAAAGGAGACATTAGTTTTAACCTAGCATGGCTTCGAATTCTCTTTTTTCAAATGCATTCAGGATTCCTACTGGTTTTGTGTCATTGGTAAATGTAGTTAACTGCCCCAGGAATGTTACCTTTTGTTATTCTCAGAATGTTCTATGTGCTCTCTGTGCCTGTCTAGTATGTAAGTGATATGGAGAGACCCTGAATTCATGAATAACTCAGGGCAATAGCTGCCTGAAGTTTCTGCCCTCCAGCAAACTTACTGCCCTTCTCTGGAGCTAGAGGGTTACCTGAAACCTTGAATAGGTTAGACTTCCTGCTTCTCTCCCACCTCTATTTTAGGGCAGATTCTGAGTCCCTTCCCCATTCCTGACATCCTGAGACCTCCCTTCCCCAACTCCCCCATAAAAGACTGAGTCCAATGGGGGGCGGGGTGGAGATTCAGAGTATTAACTCCTCAGTGGTTCTAATCTCTCCGAGTGCTGTTTTTTGTTTCTTGGCATCCAGTTTTCTGCAACATTTGTGCCTCAAAAGTCAGGCAATTTCTGTATTTCTCTGGCATCCCAGTGCTGAGCATTTAGAAATTCCTAAGTAAATACTCAGATGAGTTATTTTGCCTTTAAGACAAAGATTGATGGGACCAGCTATGTCACTGAACTTCCAGATAGTCTACCACGGTTTGAGTCCTGGACTAGGCAGCTTAAATTTAGGTCGGGTGCATGTGCATGCGTGCCCAAAATCCCAAGAGGAGAATGCAGGAGGGTTGTGGCGTGGCCATCCCCCCCCCTATTTTTTTTTTAAAAAAAGAAAGAGATAGATTGAAAAAGATACAGTAGCTTTAAAACATAAAGCACTATAGGAGAGTGAGGATGATGATGACTGTGACTTGAACACAGATAACACTAACAACCCAACATGCCAAGCTCCTGAAACTCAAAGCACCCAGTCAGCAAGTGTTTATTGGCTCCCTACACTGTGTTAAGGGTCAGGATGTCAGAGTTAGAAAATTACGATAGCCTTGCCCTCCTCCAGGTTACATTCTAACAGTGTGCAACTGACGGTGGTGATTGTACAATTTCTAAGTCCATCAATATTTTAAAACATTTTACTTATATTTTGTTCATCTCTTGGTCTTCCTAGATGACCTCTGAAGAGTCTGATGAGATGCCGATGCCAGATTCTGAAAGTGTGTTTGTCATCCCTGGTAGTGTCCTCCTGTGGCGAATAGCCCCACGACCCCCAAATTCTGCCCAGGTGAGGCCTGAATGGCTGCGTGTGGCCTCACTGTTGACATTCAACTTTGATGGCTCCCTTTCCTGGCACACGCAGGGTCAGCCTAGGCTACTGAGACATAGGCAGGCAGTCATCAAGATGCCCTCAGTTATGCCCTGCTGGCTCCTGTGTGCCACTTTCCTGCTCACGTGAGACCCAGAGTGTCCGTGACTTTATCCCTCTGGGGTCTGCTGGGAAGATGTGTTGGGTGGGACTTTATTGGGGCTTCTTTTATAGTTACTTAGGGGTAAGACTGGTCCTCACTAACTACAAGATGCTACAGCCTATTCAGTACAAGCCTCCCAGATCTCGCAAGGAATGATTTTAATGAAGAAAAAAGAGAAAATGTTGACTTACAGTTCTACTTAAAGTTGATGTGGTAGAGGGTATTTATTCCTTGAGGCCTGCTTTAAGAATTGTCTGAGACGAAAGTCACAGAAAGTGCAGATTTCAGTGAAAACATTTAGAAATGTGGTCTGTGACCATCGTTGTCACAAAAGGGAAGGGATCTTCATCAAATCAGACCTCTTCCACTTCCAGAGCTTTGGTGTATGTTCGTGTGATTGTTTTGCTTCTTTCCAGATGTATAATTTCACTAGCTTTGCAATGGTTCTGAATGAAGTTGACAAGGACATGGAAAGCGTGATTCCTAAGACAGACTGCAGGTTACGGCCTGATATCAGAGCCATGGAGAATGGAGAAATAGGTAACTTACATCTAGTGATGCTATGGTTAAGATCTATTTCTCCAGGGATGATGGTTCGTTTCATTCCTGATGATTAATCTGGAATATGAACATTTTTCATTTCTTAGGGGTTTTTGAATTACAATCCACTTTACATTCAGTAGCTTTTGTCTTAAATTGGGAAATTTGAGGCAGACCTTATTAACACATACTCATTATTTCAGTATTCTGCCCTGACAATCTAATACACTCCACAAGGCCAGAGTCATATTTTAAATGTCAGAAGGGGATTTGAGAAAACTAACAACTTTTTCTACTTTTAACTGTATTCTGATTACTTCGCTATGTATTTTAGAACTTATATTCAATATAGCACCCTGTTAGCCTCAAGGGAGAGGGTGGTCTCCCTTTGGTTAACTGTAAAATGTTTTATCTTACAATGTTAAATTTCATCTAACTCTGTGGTTCTCAAAAGGGCAGCAATAGTCCCCTTCGCAGACAGGTGGCAGTATGTGGAGACTGGTTGTCACATCTGGGGAGGTGTGGCTGGCACCTAATGGCATTAGAGGCCAGAGATGCTGCTAAAGATCCTCTGATGCTCAGGACAGCCTCCTACAAGGAAGAAGCATCTGCTCCTGTGTGGAATAGGACCAGGGCTGACAAACCCTGCTCCAGCTAATGCTCTGATTCTCCCCAGTGAAATAAAACTACAGTGTTTTGGAAGCTGAATTTTTTTGGAAGCTGAATTTCTTATACATAGACTCCAAAGGAGCCCTCTGAGAACTTGCTAAGAATTAGAATAAATTCACATTTATTTAATTTTTCCACCCAGTTTTACACTGTAGCATTTCAACAGTTTTTTTTCTTTTTTCTTTTACTCTTTTTTTTTCCTTTGTTATAATGGCAGATTTGTTTGTTTGGTTTTTTTTTTTTTTTTTTGGTAATTGCAGAGGTTAATAAGGGCATATACTGTCAGAGGAATGACTGCATCTTAAATACCAGCTCTGCTTCTTACTAGCATGGGTATATGTTAACATTTTCTTTTAGATTTTTTGTGGTAGGGCATGTACATTTGCTAGAGAGGGAAAGTGAGGAATCATCCCCCTGGGAGAGAAGGCCACACTGCAATCCTTTCTCCTCCATTCGCCTTCTGTGATTTTGGGCATGCATAGACATGTTCCCAGCATGATTTTCAAGCCACTGGATCTAGGACTCAAACCATGATTGGCCATGTGGAACTTTAGCACCTTAATCACTACTACACCTGCTTGTCCCAATTTGTTTGTATTTTTTAAAATTTTTAAAAATGTTTTAAAGAATTTTTTATTTAATTTTATTATTTTTCAATTTGACCAGTGAGAGACAGGGGAAGAGAGAAAGAAAGTGAGAAAGCAAGCCACCAGGTCCAGGGCTTAAACTGCAGTTGGCCATGTGGGAGTCCAGTGCCTTCACCACCACACCACCTGCCTACCCCAGGGTGTTTTTCAAGTCATTGGGTCCAAGACTCAAACTGCAGAGTGAGCTATGTGGGATCCAGTGCCTTAACCACCATGCCACCTGCTGGCCCTGTGTTAACATTTTAACTTGACGTTTGATCTTGGTGCTTGTGTTCTAGTAAAATGGAAATTATGCTATACAAATGGATGGTGCTTCTCTCTGTTTTTGTGCTTAGTACAGTGCCTGGCATTCTCTCCAATGAGAATAAATGTTTCTCATATTTTCTTATTTCAGATCAAGCTAGTGAAGAAAAAAAACGACTTGAGGAAAAACAAAGAACAGCTCGAAAAAACAGGTCCAAGTCGGAAGAGGACTGGAAGACAAGGTGGGTGCCTTTCAGAATGTTTTACTAAGCCTTCAGGCAGGCTATTGTGTGTGGACGAGGCAGGGATATTGGATCTTGTGAACCACAGATTAGGGGCCTGCGAGTTGTTTCCTGGCCTGAGAGAGAGTTATTTCCACTCACTTTAAGTACACTTATGTGTCACACAACAGAGATGTGTGCTGAGAAATTCATTGTTGAGTGACTTGCTCATGGTATGAACATCGTAGAGTGCACTTACACAAACTTCAGTGCTGTAGCCCACTCTACACCTTGGCTATGGGTAGAGCCCATTATAATCTGTGGGACCACGATTGTATGCATAGTCTGCTGCAGACTGAAAAGTCATTATGTAGTGTGTGACTGTATTAAAGCTGAAAGAGTTTTATGTGTGACAGTTAAAACAACGATCACAGATAAATGTCAATTAAACAAATTATCTGACATCTTTATCCAGCAGCCCTGTCCCTTCCTTATTAAAGAGGGAAAATAGATCCATAATTATAGATTTTGGTATGAAAATATATTCAGAACCACTTGCTATTGTATGTGAGTACATGGTAAGGCCACGTGCTTATACATTTCTCCCGTATCAATGATATTTAGACAATACTTTTATTTTTCCAAACACAAGATATCTGACATGTCATGGAAGTGGGATTTATGTAAAGTTAGATTTTCTATTCCATTCAGACACAGAAAGTGGAGAGCCAGCAAGTAGCATAGTGGTTAAGGTGCTAGACTCCCCATGCCTGATTGCAGTTCAAGTCCTGGACCCGGATAGCTTGAAAAAACATGCTGGGCATGTGTGCCTGTGTGTCTAGAGTCCCAAGAGGAGAGGGAAAGA